GACGCTTGACTTGCGTAGCGGGTACCATCAAGTACCACTGGATGACGACTCAATACCGAAGTCAGCCTTCACCACCCATGAAGGACATTTCGAGTACACAGTGATGCCGTTTGGTCTGTCTAATGCACCTCGAACGTTCCAACGCCTCATGAACCGAGTCTTCAGTGGCCAAATCGGACAAGGGTTGCAGTTGTTCTTAGACGACATAGCTATATACACGGATGATATTGATAGGCATCTACAGGTACTGAAGGAAGCACTGGGTCGGTTGATAAAGGCTGGACTAAAGGCTAGTCCTGAGAAGACACGATTATTCCAACAAGAAATAAACCTTTTAGGGCATCGTGTAGGGCATGGGGAAGTTAAAAGCGGCGCTAGACAAGTTAGCTGCTGTAAAAGACTTTCCCACACCCAAAAATCGACGTGAAGTAAGACGATTTCTTGGTCTAACTGGGTATTACAGACGATTCATAGAGAAATATGCCCAAAAGGCCCAACCTCTTACAAAGTTGACCTCAGAGAAACAACCTTTCATTTGGGGAAGTGAACAAGAGGAAGCATTTGAAGTGCTGAAGAGAAGTCTACTAAAGGAGCCAGTGTTGAGATCTCCTGACTTCTCACGAACGTGGTACATCTCTACTGATGCCAGTAAGGGAGCTATTGGTGCCATTTTAGCACAGAGGTATGACGGACACTTTTGCCCTGTGTCATATTTCAGTCGCCAGCTTCGAGGAGCTGAGCTTCGCTATGATGTGATGGAGAAAGAAGCGCTCGCTGTAATCGAGGCTTTGAAGAAGTTTAAACCTCTTATATGGGGATTAGAAGTGATTGTCATGTCGGATAATCGCTCTTTGCAGTGGCTTTTCCACAAAGCTAAGGATGGTAATGCACGTGTCACCAGATGGGCCTTAACTGCTCAGTCTTTCGGCGCTAAAATTCTGTACCATCCGGGAAAGCTGAATGCTGCAGCTGATGCACTATCTCGTATTGAAGCACCAGAAGGAGTGGATCCTGAAGATATTGAGAAAGCATCAACGATGATAATCGATGAAGCTCAAAACTGCCGGATATTGATGGCAGTAGTAGCCAATAATCTTGGAGGGAAAACAAGACAAGATGAACAGGAAGATGATGAGGAAGATGGTCACCCTTGGTCTATCGATGAAATGATCCGGGAACAAAACAAGATCCTTTATACTCACCTGTAATCAAGTACTTGCAGACGAAGAACCTTCTCGACAAGAGGAAAGTGGACCCGAACTTGGTGGTAGAAGATTATTTCCTTGATCAAGGGCTCCTCTACAAACAAGTCAGGACACCTAATTCAGCGCGAGATATAAAGGAAGTGCTGTGTGTGCCTAGAACACTAGTTCCGAAAGCTTTGGCACTTGTACACTTAGCACCACTAGGAGGTCATGGTGCTGAGGAGAGGACCAAGTTTAGGGCGAGACAAAACTTTACTTGGCGTGGTATGGACAGGGATATAGCTGAGTATTGCAGGAAGTGCATTACTTGTGCGAAGTTTAAGGGGCGTGCACACCCACTGACTCCCTTAAGAAGATATCCTGTTCCACTGGAACCTTTCCAAATGGTTTCGATGGATCTGATGGGACCTTTCCCTCTGACCGAGCGAGGAAACCAGTATATCTTGGTAATAGTGGACTTTTTGACACGATTTGCCGTTGTCAGAGCCTTACCCAACAAATATGCTGAGACCGTAGCTGAGGCTGTAAGTGAGGTGTTTGCAGACCTCGGGATTCTCAGACGGTATTAACGGACCAGGGACGAATTTAGGAATGAAATCCTGAAGGAGATGGCGAAGCATATGCAGTTTCAGCATCATAAAATTACTGCATACCATCCAGCGTCCAATGGACTCTGTGAACGGACCAATCAGCAAGTTCTCAATATTCTACGAGGGATGGTGGACGGAAAAGATCAGTACTGGGATCTTTACCTAAAGGACACCCAAATGGCTTTAAATTCTGCTTACCACAAAGCAATTGGCGATACGCCGTATTACGCCATGTACAACCGGGACCTGAAGACTTCAGACCTTTGGTGGACCAGACCCACAAGTTTTGGAGGTCCACCTGATGAGGATTTCATAACTGCAAGGACTCAACGGTCCAAAGAGGTGTACGAATATGTACGAGACAACTTGCTAAGAGCAGCAGATGAACAGTGTAGGATTCGCCAGAAGAAATCCAAAGACACTACAGTACTGCCTGGGATGAGAGTTTTCATCAAGGCTGTGAAGAAGAAGGGTGACAGCAAATTATCTCCCCGCTGGGAAGGACCCTTCCGAGTCGTTGAGCAAATACGACCATATGTCTACAGGATTAAACACCTACAGACAGAAAAGATGAAGGAAGTTCATCTCGAATATGAAGATCGCGCTGGAGGCCAGTATTCCGAGATCGCTAGCCCCAGAAGCAAGAAGACCTTATCCACAGGAGACACATTCAGATATTAGACCTGAAGGTACATCCGAAGAAGAAGAAGCACGTGAAGAAGAGTATGTCATGAACTTCCCAACGAATGACGATGGAAAAGGAACTTCAGAGAGCAACCAAGATTGGGCTCAAGAGTCAAGTGAGGTAGATGACCTAGCACAAGATGTAGTTGCAGGAGATTCCAACAATGCTGATAAAGCTAATGTTTCGAATAATGTTAATGTGTTACCTAGTATGAATGTTGATGAGTCTGATGGACTACAAACCACTGATTCTTATAATATTAGGCATGACACAAACACTAAAGACCTTTCACCAAAACCAGAGGTTGCAACTAATGATGCGAGTGCAAGTACTGAGAGTGAAAGAAGTAACAATAAAACTGTGCATGATGAGTTGAGTGAGCATGGTAGACGTACCAGTGGACGCACGAGATATCCACCGGGATACTATACTAGGCTGCATGAAGGACCGCAGGATTAATCAACCACACCACTAACAAACGGACACAAACAACACTAATCAGCTAATTAGATTAAGGGGGGACAGGATGGTCACCAACATTGTTGTAAAAGTGTTCTATATTGCAGATAGATGGTTGAAAATTGAAGAGAATGATGCGGATAGCACTGATTGTTCCATATTGATTGTCTGAACCTTCTTACGACCCGTAACCTCAAGATGAGCGTAGATAGTCGGAACCAAAGGAACACCTGATGTTGGGTTGTTAGACTATGACCTGACAGCCCGGGAGAAGAGTATTCCGTAACAGAGAAGATTAGCAAGAACCAGATACAACTTCCTGCACATTGAGAAAGCAGCACACCTTGCAAGTGTATCGTTTCTTTGCTAGACAATTTGGAGGAAACTCTCGGTGTTCCAGAAAGTAATTGGTTGATTATGTAGGGTTGAAGGGCGGTGGTGAGAGTAGGCAAGTTTCTTAACTTTTTGAGTTGGACGATCGAGTTTGCACTAAAATTAGAGGATGGAGTAGGATTATTTAGTCATCCTGTAAGTAGAATTATATCCATTTTGTTTTAGCACGTGAGTTGTAAAGTAATTTCGGATATCATGTGTTAGATGTATGTGATGAAATCCCTCTAATCCAAAGGTATCGAGATGATAAGTAAATGAACAGTTAACTGATTGAGCAATATTAAAGGAGTCAGTTCACGGGTTGAAACAGGCCATTGCGTTGATCGAAGAAGGTAATGCTGTTCTGGTTAGCCGTACAGAGCATCGTTATGTTATTGTACAGTCACATTATCAAGGGAGTTGCTGTAGGACCTATTTTAGTCCTTTGCCTAGTAGTCATCTCGGTATGGTTTTGGAGGAGGTTATAGGGGAATCTGTAAGGAGTTGGCTGCTCTGATGTACATGAGCGTTAAGCCCGATAGATGCACACCCATAGCGATTCGCGGTCACTCGAGGACGCGTGATTTAAGCGGGGGAGTATGTCATCGGCCAGAAGCAGTGACACTTTAATTTTGCCATTATTAATGCATTTAATTGGTAAATCGTAACGCTTGATTAGTTATGATGATATAAAATTCTAAGGGAATAAAACCACAAAATAGAGTTTGGTGGTAGTGAGGCTGTAGTTGTAGGTTGTGTTTATGTTAGAGGTGAAATACTTGTGGACGATCTTGGTGGTTACTTTAACTCGAGATAAGGGCCAAAATACCAAGTCGCCTTCTCAAAGTGCCACCTCAGCATCCATACAACCGAACAACCAGGCCTCTGTCTAGATGACCTGGCACCCCTAGGTCTAAAATTCCTGAAGTCAGTTCAGGTTGAAACATCATTGAGTGAAGGTGAATCGGTGTTGACTCCTGGAACTCATTTGAAGAATACGGCGTGATTAGCCGTGAAAACTAGCTTAACTAACTAGAAATTAATTCTAGTATTAGGGTGAAGTTAGCTGTAGATTCCAGTTCGTCTTTTCCCCGAAGTTAGCGGAAGGCGGGCCTAGGAACTATGGTCAAATTGTAAGTATTATTACTTAATAAATGTATAAGTTCTTTTCACACACAGTGTTTAATATTATCCCATTTTGTCATTCCTACATAATAGGACACTGAACAAAGGAGAGAACCACACCACAGAGATACTGGTTGGGTTGAACACAGTGGTACACGAAACAAAAAGAAACAACACTTATACTAATTAAATCACTTGGAGTACATCGACACGAGAAATACAATATCTATTAAATAAGAACCTATGTCTTGAAGAATAATGATATATATGAGTGAAAATATCAATGATATCGAGATATATGTGAAATAGAGTAATTTAATTCATTTTAAGGTTTCCAGAAATAGTGAATGATGAATCAGAATGATGCCATACTGATCTGAAGTTTTAATGAACAAAAATATTATTGAAACTATCTGAGATAACCTTTGATTAACTTACTAGAGTAAAGTAATAACGAAGATTTATGTTGGGGTAACAATGACCCACATAACACTGTGACACTTAACAACAACAACGACAACAACAACAAAACATCAACATACGAACGGGAGGAATAGGAAGAGGAGGAGATAAAGCAGGAGGAGACAAAGAGATTATCCGATAGGAGATTCCTGCAGTCGACCACACGGCGGCGGGGGAGGAACACCGTTTGAAAGAGCAGACCGTAATAATTTAGATTTTTTTTGCTTTTAGGTGGTATTTGGTGCGAAAAGAGGAGGAGGAGAAGAAGAGAAGAATTGTGGTGTTTATAGGGGATATATGTGTAGGTGTGATTGATTTATTTTTTAGGTGTTATTGATGTTATTCTATTTTTTTGTTGTAAAGTTTGTTACTAAATTGTACTGTTATATTACTATATTTTTTTTGTTTTTTTTTATATTTTGTTTCTCTTTCAGGTAATTCATTTATAGGAAAACTAGTCGGTGTTTTCTTTATTATTAGTTTTGGGGAATATTTTTGGTAGAGAAATGAAAGCAGAAGAAAGATAAGAGGCAGATAATACGTTAATGAAAGAGGAATAACAGATTCTATTAAAATAAACTTAGATAATGATGCAACATGGTAATATTAGTACTAATTGGAGTAATGAGAGCATTGTAGTATTAAGAATTAGGACAATATGTATTTTTTTGTAATTTATGAGTTGTCAGGCTACTCATAGTATCATTCTAATTAAACTTTTGATTAAAAATTTGTGCGTTATGTTTGTAATTAATATAAAGTGTGGGTTGGTGATTATAGAGTTGAATATTATACCTGTGTTTTTATATGTATATAAGAGGTATATATTCAGAACTGAGCCGTACTAGGATGGACGGAAACTAATGGCCATAAATTGCATAAAACGATTTTTAAAAATGTATTATTTTCAAAGAGTATAAGTACGTACTGTACTGTACTGCCACGTTTCCCAGACGTCTAAGAAATCTCTAAAAATCAAAGCATATGCGACTGAATTCATTAATACCATGGCCTCTGATTATCGTCTTTTAATTTGCCATTTCAGGCTTGTTATGTCGCATTAGTATAGACAAGGTTCTTTGGCCTTTACTGGAGGCTATGGTGCCATACCATAAGTAAGGCTGGTTTCCCGTGAAGGAGAATTTTGATGAAATCATTCAAGTCCTGTGTCGATGTTGGTGATTTTTGCCGTGTTTTATTTCGCAGTTTCCCACGTTTTCAAAGCTGTTGAAGGTTTATGCACTATTGATGATATGACCTAGAGATAATTTTAAAGTTTGATGGCATTTTCAAGAAGATATAGGTTCATTTTGTCAAAGGCAATCACAAATCCCCTACGAACTATGTTATTAATATATCCATATCTGTCGGTGCTTTGGCAACTACCAGACCCCGTGCCGCAACGATCATTTGACGTAGTAATTCTGTTGGGTGGGAAATTTGAATATAGATAGAATACAACTAATGTAATTATAAGAAATATGAGTCATATGAAAGTTCATTATGACACGAAGAAAAATGTTGAGATTGAAGAGCGTAAGAATGCAAGGGCTGCGAGTGATGTGTTTTGCTTAAATCCTTATCAGAGTTTTATGTAATTAAGATTTTATTAGAATATTATCTTATTCTGGAGGTGTATTCAAAATGCATCAGTTACGTCTATTGCACTGTGAAGTTTTCAGTGTCATTTACGCCTTAACTATGTTGATTGTTAAATACTTTTTAAATGCGTGTTAAGGGGTATATCAGAGGATGGATTTATGAAGATTTTACCACAGTTTTAATCCATTATTTTTATGCTACAAAAAGTTCTTAAAAGTCTGATCAACAAATAAAAAGTTGTATCAAGTGATTCCCTTTGTAAGCAGACATGCAAGCCATAAAAAATGCTAACTGACTTGATATATTTTATTGCTAAATATTTAATCTGGAATTAGGAATCTTTCTAAGTGAACACATCTTTTACAGGTTGACATCATGATGGAAGGATGGTACCTTTCTTTTGATTAAAAATTTGTGTGTTAACAGTTTGTAAGGAACATAAAGTGTGGGTTGGTAATTATGGAGTTGAATATTATGCCTTTTTTTATATGTATAACAGAGGTATATATTCAGAACTGAACTGTACTAGGATGGACAGAAACTAAGGTATTGGAATCAGGAATCTTTCTAAGTAAACACATCTTTTACAGGTTAACATAATGATGGAAGGATGGTGCCTGCTCCTTGGCACAATGGCCTTACTAACAGGGACGCTAGCCGAGGACTCAAAATGGGGAGGCCTCTACCCTCGGGAGTCGGGCAGCAGAGAGGTAAAATCACTGGATGGCCTCTGGAACTTCCGCCTGGCACCTCTCCATGACCCGTTGCAAGGGTTTCGAGAGGAATGGTTTCTGAGACCTCTCAGTAAGGTGAGCTCATGCTTATCCACGTAATTAGGGGGATGGTTAGTGATTTATTTTGGAATTGCTTGCTCAAGCATGTAGATAGTGTTTTATATTTATAAGCAGCTTAGCTGAAAGATCTTCCCAAGGCCTTACGTGACTGTGTACTGTAAGTGCCCAGAATAGGACTGGCTTCTGTAATTTGTTGACTGGGAGAAGTTAGTAACTATATCTGAATATTTTGGCAAGACAGCTTGAACTAGTTCCATATTTAAAAGTAGGTTGTCAAGGAGACCCACAATCTCCATCTTACCTGAATGTAGAGTGTAAAGCTTAACTATCATTTTCTGTTTGCCAGTTAATGAATTAAACCTATTGAAACATCAGCACACTCAACTAGGAACTGCCTTTGGTTGGGTTGTCGTAACTGGTTAGAAGCTTCAAGTTTTGAAGCATAATCACATTTCATGGAAACTTAATCTTGTTACACTGATATGGAGTAGAGTATTTTAATGGCAATTATTAATCTGAAATATTTAAATAGAATACTGCAGTGTATATTACAGTATATATTACACTATCACTTGTTACATTTTCACTTGATGACTTTATATAAGATTATTTATTTCCAAGGCTCATTGAAATTGGTGTGAACTGTAGTTAAGCATATTTCACATTTTCATTCCGCCATTTACATATATCGGTAATAAGAAAATGACTGAAATACGCTCGGCTTGTAACTAAACACCGTGAAACAGGGATTGGAGGAATGGCAACTTTTGTCATGGGTAACGAGGCTGGTGTCTGTGCTTGATTGTTGTGAATGTGGATTGTCTCTCCCATTCAGTTGATTTTTCACCAAAATTAGGGGAGATAGTCATTTCTTTGACTGTATGTAGTGGAGATTTGTTGGTCTGTGCTACAGCATGCCTCTAGGTCACCGCATATACTCTCGTGAGTGTTCAAGCTAATATTCCTCAATTGGGTTGACTGATTTTTATGGCAGTGAGTGTCATTTCGACTCTTTTATTACTATTTATTATTTTTTTTTTTTAATATTATAATTATTAGTTTAATTTCTTTTAGTGCTTATATTTTGTATCTTTCAATGCATTAATTCTGGATGATTCCTCTGTAAATTATTCAGATCAACTGTGCTTTCTAGCTCATCTTTGTTATTCTAGAAATCTGGAAGAACAGTATGCAAAGAATAATGGCACCATACATTTAACACTCACATTATGGGAATGCAATATGAGCAGTAATTATATAAGAAAAAGAATTCCATTCTCTCTCTCTCTCTCTCTCTCTCTCTCTCTCTCTCTCTCTCTCTCTCTCTCTCTCTCTCTCTCTCTCTCTCTCTCTCTCTCTCTCTCTCTCTCTCTCTCTCTTTTTTCTTTTTTCTTTTTTTTTTTTTTTTTTTTTTTTTTTTTTCTTTTTTTTTTTTTGCCAGCACCTATTATACTGTCATGCACAAAGAAAATGAAATAAGTTATAATTGATATGAAACTGAATCTTTCGTCCTGAAGCATTAACTCCCATTATGTAGAGGAGTACCTGTTCTACCTTGAATTCACATTTTTAATTCATATTTACGTTAATGACGAGGATATTCACCTCTTTGCTCTTCATTGCAATGGTTACTTTAATTACCTGGTAGGAATTACCCCCAATATTAGGAACTACCTCGGAGGTAATATCCTCAGAAACACCGAAATCTATTCAGGAATTGATTCCTCTCCAGCCCTATGGTCTGATTTTTCTGTATTTTCACTATGACCCTCCCAATGTTGCCTTTTCAGCCAGTCCAATGTATCCCCTTGGTACTTGCAATGGTTCCCCACTTGTCTTTTCCAATGGTCCCTCCGTGGGTGGAACCCCTTCATATATATGTTAGGTGATGGCATAGGGTGCAGAAACCCTGACGATAATTGGTTGAATAACATATTATCCCTTTCGAACTTTCCGAGGGTCTGCAGAAGTTTTTGAAGAAGATTAAAAACAGACTGATTTTGATTTCATCTCTAATTTTTACGAGTATATTAGGGGATGTGGGTTTCTGCTAAATGCATAATGTTTTTTATCTCTTTATTATTTTTGTATATATGAAAAACACTTGTATGATTATTTTAGGAATGTTTTTTGGTAAGTATGAATAAGAATAAAGCTGAGAGACAGGATTACAACATTGTATTTATCAGACTAGCTTGTGTTAAAAATCTGCTTCACTATCATTCATATTTTTCCTTTTTTCGCCATTATTACCATTTCTGATGACAAAGGACAGTAATTTTTTTTAAAATCTGTTACAGTTAAAAGAGATTCAAGGAAATATATGTAGCATATGGTAATTCTAGTATTGTTTTTTACACCATTTTAGACTGGGTCAGTGATATCGATGGCAGTCCCAAGTAGCTACAATGACGTAACGCAAGACAAAGCTCTCCGAGACCACATTGGATGGGCTTGGTGAGTTGTAGATTATTTTTGTATGATGTTAATTAAACTGAAATAATGTTTTTAGATCTTTAATGTTGCTTATGAGAAATATGATTTATTTATGATGAATTTTATTAAAGATATTTTTTGGATAAATTGTTTTGTAATGATTTAATCTATTAATGCTGAGAACATCCATAATTTACTAAAGTTTTACTTTATTTTCTCATTTTTTACTTGTACTTGACTCTGTAAGCACTTAGATGCAAGGAATTAATTATTGGGCTTACCTAAACCCACCAATTTAATCCATTCCTTGAAGTTCTATAAAATGATTTATTTCTTTTACTTTTTTTTTATTTTGTATTATTATTATTATTATTATTATTTATTATTTTTATTATTTATTTATTTTCTGTTATTTTGATGATAACAGTAATAAAACCTCAATTATATTTATAGTAGACAGGCCATATATTGACTCCTCGCATCAGTGGCTCAATTAATGCAATGCTGTAAAAGTGCGTGATTGTCTTCCATTAGGTACGATCGCACTTTTTATGTGCCCGTGAGATGGCAAACTGACAAACAGAGGGTTGTTCTTCGTCTTGGGTCTGCCCATTATAATTCAATCATTGTGAGTATTTCCTAAAGTATTTTGAATGTTTGTTTTTGTTTGTTTCTTTTTGATTATGAAGGAAAATTAGCAGAATGTATTGAAGGGTACATTCGTTTACTAAATGCAAATGTAGGTACACACATGCATATGGTCTCCCTCTCACACACATACACACACACATATGCATGCATGCACGGACAATACACACACACACACAAACACAAACACGCACACACACACACACACACACACAACACACACACACACACACACACACACACACACAACACAACAACACACACACGCACACACACATGCACACGCATGCACATGCACACGCCATATGTATATATAACAGGTATGATACAGCTCCCACCTTCCAATGCACATACAAATGCACACAAACACACACACACATATTTATACACTTATAGATACACACTTATGTAGAAGAATTTGATTTTCAATTCCTTTTTCATGTATTGTAAAATTAAATACCTTTTTTTTTTTCTTTCTTTCTTTTTTGTTTTTTTTTTCTTTTCTTTCTTTTTTTCACTTGAATATTAATTATCAAATTTACAGTATTATTCTAATTGTATTGAAAGTATCACTCGGAGAAAATGACACTCCATTTTTCAGTACATCAATGGTGTAGCTGTGACGTCCCATGAAGGAGGACATCTCCCCATAATGGCCGAGATATCAAGTGGTCTTAGATTTGGGAAAGAAAACCTTGTCACCGTGGCCATCAACAACACTTTGACGCCCAGCACGTTACCTCAGGGAAAGATTGTCTACCATAATGACCCTACGAAGCAAGTTCTATAAGTTTTGGGCTGCCTTTAGTATTGCAAATGAAATAGTGACCTGCATGCTTCAAACTAGGCTTAGAGCTGTATATGGTCTACTAGAGCAGGGATCAACGGTCCACTTTTCTGTCTCTGGTCAATTTTCTTGTATGGTTTGCAGGGTATTTTTTCATGTTTGCAATTAAACAGTCAATTTACTAATAAGTTGCTATAAATGATTGTCAGACTCTAAATTTTCCCATCCATTAGAGAAGTATGAAACAGAGTGTAGAAATACATCATTTCAATAGCTTTTACAAGGTTGAAAAATATTCAATTATTTGATTGGTAAAGCTTTCCAGGTTTAACAAAATTTTAGCTCATTTTTATAAAACTTTTAGTCAGGACAGTTAAAGTGTATTTAATGTATCCCAGTCAGGGGTAAACCTATCCCTGGGTGTAAATTTCAGCTCTCAAAAAAAAGGAAAGAAAAGAAAAGGAAAGATACTCTGGTTACCTATAGCATTTATATGTCATATATTTTGTTTGGTTAGCTTTGGTATGCAAGAAAAGACAGGAATAATTTTTAGAGCAAAGAATTTCTGTGATATAAGAGATAAAGTTGAAAAGAACTCTTTGTATGCATATTTTATGTAAATATAATTTATGTTAGATTTATTATATGAATATAATGTTTTTTTTTCTTTTTCTCTTTTTTTAACAGGTATCCTCCCGGTTACTTTGAGCAGACATTAGACTTTGACTTTTTCAACTATGCAGGTCTTCATAGGCCAGTTTACCTTTACACAACACCACAAACATACATTGATGATATAGTGGTTAACACTGATATTGATGGGTCTGCAGGTTTGTAATGGTTAACACATTGCTAAGTCTTTCTTTGAAAAAAAAGAAATGGATACTGTTTTGGAAATTATTTTGCTATTTATTTCCTCCTTTTCTTGTTTTAATGAACAAACATATGAATAATGATAACAAGAAGTTTTGTTTCCAAGAGCTAACCAATAACTTTGTCTTTCAGGTATCATTAATTACAAGATATTTGCGGCCACCTCCGGGATCGGCCCCCAGACTGAAGACAACGTGGGCTGTTCAGTCAAGCTCCTGGATAACGAGGGGGATCATGTTACTAGTGCCATGGGGTGTGTTGGCACTATTAAGATCAGCAATGCCAGTCTTTGGTGGCCATATCTCATGCATAGCAACCCTGGCTATATGTATACGTTGATGGTAAATATAGTTTGACATTACTGTGCATGTATATAGTACTCTCTCTCTTTGATCTAGGTATCTGTATACTGTATTTATATATGTATGTGTATGTTTACACATTTGTATGTAATTATATTCTTGTATATGTTTCATATGTATATATACAGTATATAAGCAGACTAATAAAGTGCCACTATAACAAACTTCTGGATAAGGTCTTAAGAACTGAAATCACTATTCTTCCATTACTTCAGGCAGCAGTGTCAGATGAGCATGGTGTGCTGGACCTTTATCCTCAGAAAGTTGGCATTCGCACTCTTGGATGGAACTCCACTACGCTGACCATCAACAATCGGCCTCTTTATTTGCGTGGCTGTGGGCGGCATGAAGATGCTGATGTAAGTGGATTATAGATGAGGGATGAGGATGGATGGTTGATCTGGTTGTTTGAGTAGAAGCTACATATCCTTTGATATTTTAGAAATATAATTTTTTTTGTTTTATGATAAGATTACATGATGATGAATTAACCTCATGATTTGGATCCCTTGTATTCTAAAGATCCGGGGCAAAGGTGTTGACTACCCACTGATCGTGAAGAACTACATGATCGTTCAGTGCTGTGGTTAATGCTCTGAAAAGAAGCTGGACCCAACACGCTCTGTCACGTGTGTCCTGAGCGTGTGACAAACACACAGACTTTAGCTGTAATGTAAGACTTGATAATGTTGATGCATTTCCTAACTGATTTTAGAGGACCTGCATGTATGATATTACTTGTGCTGTATAGTCAACTGATTACTGCTGTGTATCTGTGTCTGGAAGGACATCAGGTTTATGATTTGTGTGTGTTGCATTAGGTGAAATAAGAAAATCCAAAGACAGGTCTTAATGAGGTGAAAAGTAAAGCATTCCTGGTTGGCATTCTTCCAGTCCAAAATCAGAGTTCCGCTCACACAAAAAAATATTATTTGCAATACGTGATTTTATAAGGTTTTACCTTTTATATACAAGACACAGTAGTAGATGCTATTTGTGGTGCAATCAGTCTAGACCATAACATAAAAACACAGAACAGTAGTAGATGCGTGCAGATCAGTCTAGACCAATAACATCTGTGCTCATCAAGGTGCACTTACCGACTTTACTGTACATTCAGTATGACATTAATCAACTGTCTGCCACACTGAATACCTGGTGTCACTATCATTTTTTTCCAATAACATTTTATAATACAAGTGATGTAAATACCTTTCCCTTTACTGCAATCCTATAAACAGAAAGTAATTGCAGGGAGAAAAAACACTGTATATATACTTTATTTTTCATCATGTGACTATGTTACTTTGTCCGGTGTAAATGATTATCTTGATGAATTATGTGTAGGACCAACCATATTTTGATTAGCAGTTACTGATCCCTTACAAGTAAGACTGATAAACCAGGTATAGTTACTTGTGCTAAAAATGGAGTGATACTTTTTTGATATATATAGTTAAGCATGAGTCACCTTTAGCAAAACAAGAAATGCATTACTGTAGAAGGAAATAATCGGTCAAATTGAATACAATTCTCATGCAAGCGTCATCCAGTTTACATGTTATGATATGTCTTCCGAAAATTATATAGTCTGATTTTGTTTATTCTGCAGCAATGTTGTGAATGCCACCAAAGCAGTTGATGCTACCCGTCCAGTTACTTGTGTTCTCAATTATCCAAAAGACGAAGAACATGCTGTATGTTCCCTTACATGTATTTCTTCACTCAGCTAGCAGCATTTCTCACACATTTAGCAGCATAGAAGTGGTGCATGTGCATGATGCATGTATGTGTAGCATACTTTGCTGAAACTGATAAACTAATATATCTAGATTTAGTTATGTCTTGTGTGTATAGTAACTACTAGTTTCTAAATTATTTGGTCAGTGTGATATACATTTAATTTTTATTAATGGTAGATATGTTGTTGTTTTTTTGTTATGATTTCCTCCAAAGACCTTTCAGAATTTAAAATTTGTTTTATTTTTTGCAAGTTTTAGACCTATTTTCTTTTGACGGGAAAATTCATTGTGCTTTAGCCAGGATTCCACGAGCTTTGAGCCCAGCCTCATATGACTCAGCCATGGTCCCTAAACTACCTTTGGCTGCCTAGCATCCCTTTTTGGTTCACCTGCTCCCCATGGTTAGGTGTACCTAGGCTGGCTTCAAAACATTTTTACTGCTTTCATAACTGTAGCACCATATAACAAATTTCCAAGGCGGTTGCTGACGATTAGGAGGAATTGAGCAGAGGTCTTTGGGTCATGTTCCTTGAATTCTGTAGAGAGTCAGTCCACTTAAGTCTGGTCAAAAGGTGAAAATATCTGGCTTCAGCCTGGCTCCAGAATCGGGTAAAGCTATTGGAACTTTGGCTTTATCTGATTCAGGTGCCACCACTCAAGTTGGAACTCTGTAAGTCAGACCTTAAATTTGTTTTGCCAGATCTCAGTATCTCTTTTTCACAGGTAGTAAATCATCTGGGATCGTCTCAGAAATTTTCCAATATTGCTATGCTGTTATAACATCAGTAAAGAACACCTTAGAACCAGCCTAGGTACCAAGGGGAGTGTAATTGTGTTGTAACCTAAATGCAACCCAGAACAGCCAGGGGTTACTCAGGGTCTGGGGCTAAGACCATCTTCGATATTCCTGGGTCCTTCTTTTTCTTTGTCTGCTTCTTGTATTCCATCTCTCTTTTGAATTTTGGTGCTGCATCTTTATATGACTGTGTTTATTACAGTTTGATTGGATATAATTAATTTGAAATATTTGAAATCTATAGTAAATTGAATGCTTTTTTAGATTGTTGGGATTGTAATCCATGTTATTTGTTTTTAGATTTGTTTGTTGCTTGATATGAATTACCTCTATACTGCCTACAAAATGTAAATGCTATATATCCTAGATGTGTGTGACAGATATGCATTGTCTGCTTGTGGAGAAAATGTCAGTTAGTAGATTGTGTGATGCATTATATTGCTTGTATATTTCTCTACATGTGATTGTACTTGTAAGATTTTATTTGAAAATATGCAAGACAACTTTTTGAAATAAACCTGTTACACAAAAGTGTGTTGAAATGAAGAAATAAAGAATACATATATCTTTATGTACATGATTCACAGCTTCATGTATTGCCTTTTCCAGGGAAGCAGCCTAGATGTGATTTTGGTGAATCGCTACTTCTCCTGGTACAGTGACACAGGGCACCTAGAGCTGATTTATAATCAGACTGTGAATGAGTTCATGGAGTGGCATCTCCTCCACAACAAGCCTGTTATGATCTCGGAGTATGGAGCTGGGTCCATTGCTGGTTTCCATATGGTAACTATTTAACCCTTAAACACTGGACTTTGTGATACTCCTCCTTCCATGTCTGTGGACATTTTTTAATGTTAAAAAATATATATATAATTATGATTAAATTTAAAATACTAAGATAAAGGTGATGGTAAGTGCAGAGTTTTCATGGCAGCAAGGAGAGCCTAGTATAACAGAGTTAGGAAGGGGACTGAGTAGTGGGGAGCTGTGGGTGTGAACCAAGCCAGGTCTCTCTCAACTGTATGTTGGCAGACATGCTCTGGTGGTGCAGGATTAAGATCTGTTGAAAATTGTATTGAACAGGCTATAGAATGATTGAAATTGGGACTAATATTGCAAGTTTTGTTATAATAATTATGGCTTCAGTTTTATTTTAACGATATCAGCTTCAAGAATTTTAAATTAAGCTGTATAATATAAGTTATAGTTTTATCTTTTAACAACGACAAAAAAAGATAACACTAATGATAATGGAAAAGTTGAAGGTTTATTTGTATAAAAGAAACCTATGTTTTCTTGTTCTACCTTCACCAGTTTTCACCTTTTTTATATATTTAAGGACCCTTCATTCACATGGACTGAAGAATACCAAGCAGATTTGATGGTGGAGAATTTCAAAGCCTTTGATACACTCAGAAGCAAAGGTTACTTTTTTGGCGAGATGATATGGAACTTTGCTGACTTTTCCACACCGATGGGTAAGAGTTTTTTTTGTATATGGATAAGTTGATTTAGATATTTCTCAAATTTTACTGTGCTAATTTCACAGAGGGGTAGTTTTATGGTCAATTGGGTGTTCCTGAATTTCTAATAAATCTCAGAATATGGGTATTGAATATTGCATAGCACTTATTACCAAATCTTTACATATGTACCGCAACAAATGAGAGACAGAAAAAGAGGAAGAAATGGATGTTCTTAGTGGATAATTTTTACAAAGCAAAATAATTGCTTATACATTAAAGGTCAAACAGTACTATAGAATGGTGTAGTAGTGAAAAGGGTAAAGAAGGGGTTTGTTAATGAAGTAATGTGCTACATGTCGATAGCCGTACAGGAGCTTAGGATAGTATAGCATTGAAAGGGGTAGAGAAGGTGAGTAAATGGGTTACGGTAAGGATTAACATGGATGATTAAATCATAGTTATCAAATGAAAATATGGGATTCTGTAGTGGGAAAGTCCTGTCCACTGTAAGGGCAACTGTAAAGGTGAAGTCACAGGTGATAAAACAAGAAACTACTTGTTTACAGTGTAGTTTGCCGCCCATGACATCATCTCTGTTCATGCCCACTCCCTGTGCCTGACCATATTGCCCACCTGTGTGGACAGTCCTTAAGGTAAGGATTAGCAAAAGGGGAGGGGGAATCAAGGGCAATTAGATCAAAGAGCAGTTTCAGGAGAAATGTCAGGAGGGGGGATATGAAGAAGTAGAAGGGACAACAAGGAAGGAAGAGGAGGCTTATGTAGATGAAGCAGGGGAGATGGGGTGTATTGGGAGGGAGGGGGAGGAATAGGTAGAGGGAACCTGAATAGAAGGAGGATGGATGTCGGCAGTCACTTTTGAGTGTAGAGGGAATAGATTTTGGAGGATGAATGATTGACAGGTGCGTTACTTTAGGCCATTAGATAGTTTTGTATGACCTCAAGATGACTTGGCCTCACATAAGATGAGGCCAAGTTAAAAGCTGAGGACGTTTCCCTCAAGAATTGAACTTGTAGGTAGTGCATCCCCTATGAAAAAAAAAAAAAAAAAAAAAAAAAAAAAAAAAAAAAAATATATATATAGATATATGGATATATGGGCCATAATTTGTGTGATTACACATGGCAGTTTGAACGATCGTGGCCAGGATGGGCACATATAGCAGGCTGTAGAGTGACAGTGCCTAGCAGGGTGGCAAAAATGGCAACACTTCTTGCATTAAGGGGGAAGGGGTCAATATGGTCAGACAGGGCAGGATTCTCCACCAATATAAACTTCATGGGTGTTCATGTTGGAAGGTAATCTTTGCAATATTGGTGTAGGACTTTAAGCAGCCAATATTAGACTACCTCATCAGATCCCATTTACAATCAGATGCTTAATTATTACAGAGTACAACCGTCCTGGTGCCTGCATGAAGGGTCTGTTCACAAGAGCTCGGCAACCCAAGATGGCCGGTCATCTGATGCGCATGCGGTACTGGTCTCTGGCACAGAACATTCACAATGTCACCATACCCAAAGGGGTTCGCAGTCCGTTGCATATCATAACGTGATCTGGTGGAGTTTCTACAGGTTGTGTAAGACATTCCTTATCATAAGAGGCACTGGAGTGTTTTGTAATCACATTGATTAATGGTTTATATATAGAGAGAGGTTGAATGTTTGTTGTGGAAGTATAAATAAAGTGTGTAGTAATGAATAGAAGCACAGTTTGTTTATATGATTACTATTTACCATAAAAGCTGATCTTATGGAAAGAAATGATTCTGGAGATTATATAATGGAGATAATATGTTGATAGCACACTAGTATTTTCTTAACAAAGATGTTTGAAATAAGTTTTAAGTGAAACTGATGTGATAAATGAATGAAGTTGTAATTTGAAATTGTATAAGTAATTGTAAAATAAAAAAAATTATATATGAAATGTATCTGCTTTTAATAACCATACTAAAAAGAGGAGAAGAAGAAGAATGGTTAATGCTTTAAGTGAATAATTATGCTGGATGCCAAAGGTCATATAGCACCATGGTAAACTATTACGATGAGAGGGGTTTAAAGAAATTCTTTATTTGAACAAAATGTCTTAGATTACAACAGTTATTTGGTATTATAAGATAGTATGGTAGTGAAAGGGGTAGAAAGATGGGGAGTAAATGGGGTAGGATAGGGATTGGTATGAGGGGGAAGGGTTAAGGACAGAGGGTGATTAGCTCAAATGGAGGGTATTTGTGTGTCTGAGGAGGGAGAACAGTTGGCAATTGGGAAAAATGATGAGGATCCATGAGGGTCTGACAGGTGAGATGGGGGGGGGGGGGGCTGAAGAAGATAGGACAGGTAAAGAAAAGCAAGGGTGCAGGCTTCAGTAAAGCAGGGACAGGATAGTAGGATATGTGGGACTGAAAAAGGGTTGGAGAGTGACATGAAGTATGAATGCCTGATGCAGATGTGACTTATGTAACCGAGTAAGAGCAGTTTCCCAGGGTTTGTTCTGGTGATATGGGGCTGGACAAGGAGAGATGGAAGCAGTTTATTGGTGGTCAGACCCAAACAGAAAGATTTCCAACAATTATAGACGAAAGTTTTGAAGTGGGTGTACTGTGTGAAAAGTTGATGGGTTGTAGACAAGGCATTGGAGTGCCAAGTGTTCACTGCCTGTTCACTGCCAGGGATACGACATGACTGGATACCCAGCAAAACTTGACTTTTCCTCACCCCCCAATCCCTTGCCCATTGTTTGTCATGGGGAGGCTTAGGAGATGGAGACTGAGACCCAATGCAGGGATCTCCCCTGCCTAGGGCCTCAGCCCTCGACTCAACTAATTTTGCATGGCCTTTTCTCCCTCCAGCTTTCTGTTTCCATCCCTTCTCCAACCCCTTCTACTATCTACTTCCTAAGGTGTAAGAGCCGTGCTGAAAGGATGAAAGGCTGACCTTGTGCCAGTCCTGAACGGCCTGCAGGAACCATGGGCACGGTATTCCCCTGATGTCTAGCCCTTACCCCCTTAAGGGGCACTGAAGGGGTGAACTGTTTATTTCCCCTACATAATCAAGGCTTCTTATGGCCAATAATGAAGTATCCTCCCGACACCCATCCTCCTCCTACTCCCTCTACACCATTTCCTCCTACCCCTCCCAACACAACCCACCCCCCTCAACTCCAACTAGTAAATTCTCCCTCCTTCCATCCCCTCTATCATTTCCACTCCCTCCTGGATACACACGTGAAACACTTATGTAATTCCCTTACCTAAGCCGACCACAGCCCATTCACACAACTTCTTTAACCATCTTTAACCCGACAAGATCACTTTAGATAGTTGACGCATAGCAACTATCACCCTTCACCCCTCCTCTAATATACTTTCCTATAGTGCTATATGACCCTTCACCCCTCCTTTAATATACTTTCCTATAGTGCTATATGACCTTAGATGTCTAGCACATTTATTTTTGCTTTTAACCATTAACCATTATTAACCATGGACTTATTTCTGTTGTGTAGACATAACAACTTGGCCTTGTATCTTGTGGAATATAGGGTTAATAGTGTATTGATTGTATGAATGCGTGAGTCAGTAAATATGATGGTGAGAGATGAGAATGAGATGAAAGATGTGTCTATTAAAACAAAACTGGAATGTTTTACTATGTTCTTTATTAGAAAGTAAGAAATGTTACGATTACCAAAAAACGGTGATCTATTTTCATGAAGCATCCACAAATGCTCGTAACAAACAAACAAAAAAATTGAATGAATATTTAATCATTCATTTATTAATACTTAGTAGCTATTTTGTGTGTTATACAATAATGCAGATTTCTATATTATTCCTGATAACGCGCTTTCATCTGCAGCATTTTCACTGGGACTTTCGCCATCCATGTTAATATATATGATTTCTTGAAACATCAATCTATTTCGTCTTTGTGCGCGCCTTTTATGCTATAGTGAGAATATGTATATAAGGGGCAGGGGTGGGGGTTCATGCGCGAGATAACTAATGATAACTAGCTAATTACTAGCTGGCTAACTAATGATAACTAGACTAGCTGGCTACTAATGCTAATTACTAGCTGGCTAACTACTACTAAGCTAATTACTAGCTGGCTAACTAATGATAACTAGCTAATTACTAGCTGGCTAACTAATGATAACTAGCTAATTACTAGCTGGCTAACTAATAACTAGCTAATTACTAGCTGGCTAACTAATGATAACTAGCTAATTACTAGCTGGTTAACTAATGATACTAGCTAATTACTAGCTGGCTAACTAATGATAACTAGCTAATTACTAGCTGGCTAACTAATGATAACTAGCTAATTACTAGCTGGCTAACTAATGATAACTAGCTAATTACTAGCTGGCTAACTAATGCACTAAGCTAATTACTAGCTGGCTAACTAATGATAACTAGCTAATTACTAGCTGGCTAACTAGCTGGCTAACTAATGAGCTAATTACTAGCTGGCTAACTAATAGCTAATACTAACTAAATAGCTAATTACTAGCTGGCTAACTAATGATAACTAGCTAATTACTAGCTGGCTAACTAGCTATTACTAGCTGGCTAACTAACTAGCTGCTAACTAATGATAACTAGCTAATTACTAGCTGGCTAACTAATGATAACTAGCTAATTACTAGCTGGCTACTAACTAACTAATGATAACTAGCTAATTACTAGCTGGCTAACTAATGATAACTAGCTAATTACTAGCTGCTAACTAATGATAACTAGCTAATTACTAGCTGCTAACTAGCTAATACTAGCTGGCTAACTAATGATAACTAGCTAATTACTATAACTAATGATAACTAGCTAATTACTAGCTGGCTAACTAATGATAACTAATTACTAGCTGGCTAACTAATGGCTAAGTACTAGCTGGCTAATGGAACTAATTACTAGCTGGCTAACTAATGATAACTAGCTAATTACTAGCTGGCTAACTAATGATAACTAGCTAATTACTAGCTGGGACTACTAGCTATGATAACTAGCTAGCTGGCTGGCTAGCTAACCTAATTACTAGCTGGCTAACTAATGATAACTAGCTAATTACTATAACTATAGCTAATTAATAACTAGCTAACTAATGATACTAGCTGGCTAACTACTACTAGATAACTAGCTACTAACTAACTAGCTAATTACTAGCTAACTAACTAGCTAATTACTAGCTAGCTAATTACTAGCTGCTAACTAAACTAGCTAATTACTAGATAACTAGCTAATTACTAGCTGGCTAACTAATAACTAGACTAACTAGTTGACGCCATTAGCAGCTCGTGAGGTGCTTAACCTGAGATCGGTCTTGTGTGGACGGGAAGGGACCTTAAAAGACTCGTAAAAGATGAGAAAGAAAGACACAGTTCATAATTTAATAAAAAATAGTTGCTAAGGATTTTACTGTCTTCGTTCTTGAATCTTTCGACATGGTATTCTCTTTTGCTGCGCCTCTTCAGGAAAATTAAAGAAAAAGAAATGGGTACTCAATTATATCTGGAATTCCAGGGTATCAGGACGAGAGAGTTAATGTTAATAATTTGTTTAATTTGAAGTTGATAATTTCTGAAATCTCAGTTTTATTATGAAAGAAAATGCTTGTCTGTCGCGAATTCGTGCTTCCCTTTTATAATACTCTTTCCATTCATTTTTATGGATGGAAAAAAACACTCTTTCGTGTTAATACAATGGTTTAAAACCCACACTGCACAAACTAGATTTATTGAAATAAATGAGACAACAGTTTCGTAATTTGGAAACGTTTTAATTTGTGCATTGTGGCTTTTTGTCTACGATTCATCTTTATATACACGCTAATATGGTATTGTTCAAGTCACACATGGTCACCTCTTCATAGCACCATGTTACACGGTTCCTTTAATTAATGTGAAAACCATTCTTTCTGCTCGTTTAAATAAATCCTTTGATATATCTCTATGGGAATATATATCTCTATGGGAATGTATATCTCTATGGGAATATATGTTTCTAAGGGAATATATATCTCTAGGGGAATGTATATCTCTATGGGAATATATATCTCTATGGAATTATATATCTCTATGGGATATATATCTCTATGGGAATATATATCTCTATGGGCTATGGGAATATATATCTCTATGGGAATATATATCTATGGGAATATATATCTCTATGGGAATGTATATCTCTATGGGAATATATATCTCTATGGGAATATATATCTCTATGGGAATATATATCTCTATGGAAATCCGCATGACAAGAAAAGTAGAGAGGAATATAAACAGTGAAAATACGAACACATGATAATGGTTACGAAGATTATAACAATAAAAAAGTAATAATGATTAACAGTGATGATAAGAATGATAACGACGATAATAATAGTAATAATGACCATAATAATAACAAAAAAAATAGAAATAAGAAGTGCAATGGCAAAGACAAAATTATATCGCTGCGTCAGTACTACCAACACTAAGATAAAACAAAGATAGCGTAAAAATAACGCCATGGGATTATACACCTAACAAACGGACACACAACTGCCCTTAATTTACATACAACTGCTAAGCCAACTGCCCAGTGTTGCCATTCTAGCGCCTTTCACGCTAGATTTAGAGTTCCTGAGATTTAGCGGGAAAGTTTGGAAAGATTACACGCTACATAGCGATTATTCAAGTCTTTTCTAGCGGGAACAAAGAGGTACTTTTTCTCTTGTATCTAACAGCTTTTAACGTTCAATCAAGCGATTTTGAGGAAATATCAGTGGAAACTCTGCAACAACCACTTCATAGAACTTATTTCACAATAGTTTGTAGCGGTTCCTCCGTTTCAGGCAGACTGCGTTCGTTCTGTGGAAAAGATAGAGGGAAAGCTGTCATTTTAGTTTGATTCTATTCAGTTCAATTTCAGATTTTGATAATTAATTTTATCGTTACTGTCGTAATTGTGAGTGTAGGTATTGTTACCATTATTATAATTATCATTATTACTGTTATTTGTTATAGTAATAGTAATAATAGTGGTAGCAGTAGTAGTAACAGTAGCAATAGTAATAGTAGTAGTAGTAGTAATAGTAGTAGTAGTAGTAATAGTAGCAGTAGTAGTAATAGTAGTAGTAGTAGTAATAGTAGTAGAAGTTGTAGTAGTAGCAGTAGTAATAATAACACCAGTAGTAGTAACAGTAGCAATAGTAATAGTAGTAGTAGTAATATTAGTAGTAGTAAGAGTTCTGCTAGTTGTAGTAGAAGTTGCAATAATACTAAACAGTTGTAGCAGCAATAGTAACATCCTCATTATTATCATCACTATTATTATCATTATCATCACATCATTATAATCCTCATCACACCTCCATCAACCATTTATCATCACTAATTAAATTACATAAATCATCACGATCAACCATCCCTGCCTTCTCACCTGTAGCCTCTTCTCCTCGCTGAAGTACCTGACGAGGTGCTGTTCAGGAAAAGTCTTGTTCCCGACCCACACAAAAGGCGGGTCGTCTGACGTGCTGATGGCGAGGAGCAGCAGAGTCGCCACGTTAAAAGGGTATGAGAACACCGGAACAGCTGTCTGCAAAGGGGAGGTAGTTTCAAGTTTAGAATGACTGAGTACTCGCTGGGGCTTCTGTGTGGTGGATATTTTTTTTTCTTTCTTTCTTTTTTTTAGATATGGTTTATGGTGTTTTTTTTAGGGGGGTGTGGTGTGTTTTAAGAGGGGGTATAGGGGCTATTGTTTTATGTGGATAACTGTTTTAGAGGCTTTTTTGAGATTTATTGGTAGCGGAAATATTTTAATATCATAGTATGCCTATCCTGAACAAAACCATGACCTAAACAAACGCAAGGTATAGTTGCAATAGCATCTTTATCATCTACGTAAACCGAAAAAATGGGATTCAGTCAACACTCACAGAACAGAAAACTACCTGTCGCTGAAAATATATGCACTGTTGCGGCCTGGACTGCGCCTGCCAGGGAAGCTGCAACAATAGCACCCACGAATACACCTGGCAGAGGGACCAGGAAATACGAGAGGCCTCCAGCTGACAGCATAGCATTGTAGCCCCAAAGTCCTAGATAGACATCTGTGTAGGGCGCGGTACTCACCAGCAACCCTGAGAAGGACGTTTGTGAAAATGCTTTAGTTTACCCTAAAACTTAGAGCGGGAACTCCGTTTTCTTTCTTTCAGATTATCTGTATGTAGATAGCCAAAGACGGTCATTTCAAGAAAATAATACATCCAGAAAAATCGCTTCAAGATCTCACCGATCATAGTGCCAATGACGCTCCCCATGTAGAAGAAGACAGTGAGAAGAGGAGAGAACAGGAAGAAGCCAAGCCAGACAAGGATGGAAGAGTCGACGGTGCCAACGCCATAGATCTGCCCCGAAGCCAGAAGTGTGCCCTCGAACACCTAAAAAAAA